ATTTACGCTTTTCTTAAAAAATATTTAGTATACTTATATGTAGACTATACGCTTTTCTTTTTTTTATTGACCTACGCAACGTCTTTTATGCCATTAACCTTACGATTATAAACAACACCTACAAAGATGTTATTATCTTAATAAAGAGACCATTGGAGCTATATACGTACGTATGAAATTGTTAGATCTGTATTACAGTTGTTTCTATAAATTCTGAGACATTTGAAAAATAACCGAAATGATAAGTTTTTGACATCAATAACTTATTGATTCTGACTCGATAACTTATCGATTCGGTTACTGGAAAATATGAAACACCAACTATATGGAGTCTTTGCTGACGGAAATCAAATTAAGTTTTTTTGCAATACGCGAACGAATGTTACACGAATATGCAATGTTTGATTCCAGTGCAACAATCCAATTTTTTTAATTCATATCGATATAATTTTAGATTTTTTACCGTTACTGCTATATAAACATAACATTTTGAAATTAGAGAATTATATTTGCGTTTATTTATTTTATAAAAAGTAAAATCACTTTTATAGAATTGTAATTTGGCTAAAACTAAGTACGTACGTATCTGTAAAAAGGTTTATCTTAAACAAACCTTTTGTAGATCTTAAACATTTTTTCTCACTCAGATATGCAGTAACGCCAAGATTATCTACCACATATAATCATGTAACAGAAAGATTTCAAAAAAAAAAATTGCTCGGATACTTTGTATTTTGTATTTTGAAATTTATTCAAGAAACCGGTTTTCTGTTCTAGTAAAAAATGTTTGTTTATTATTAAAAAATTTAACAATGAACGTTTCTAAAAATCAAGTTTATTTCGGAAAAACCTATAAACTTTCCGTTGATTTCGAAAAAAAACAATGAATTTTTAATTATACTATTTAGTACTACCAGATACGGAAATTTTATTGGCTTGGAAAAAAAAATTGATCTTTCCTTTTACTTGCGTATGTGTATACCATATTTATATTTGCTTATAACGATAAACTACGTATTCTAATGTAATGACGTAATAAATTGAAATGCACTTTGTTTTACCAAAGTGAAAGGAAATTTGAATGAGGAACAATGGAAATTTGTTTTTGGATTATGTTTTGATTATGATGATGCACCTTATTATTCGTTAGAAATGTTAGAAATCAAGGAATATCCATATTTAATCAGTCATCATTATATTTTAACGTTGATTCTATTCGTTAATCATATGTGAAACAATTTCTTCTGATACAAATTTACATTACAGTCATAAAAAAGAACCATTATCAGATATAAATAAAAAACATTCCGTAACAAGAAAGAAATGACAATGTAAAATGAATCATATGACAACGAACCATGTTAAAATAACACTGTATAATTATGAATTACGTATGATGAATTATGAATTATGAATTATGTACGAATTATAGTCATGGTTTTGATCTCATACACAACATCAATGAGTGCTTTTTCATACGTGCAAGATACTTTTTTTATTTATTGAAGTTTTATGTAGAGTCAAAATAAAATACAGTGGTAAGATGATAACTTTTTGAAAATCTTGTAAATGGAATTTGGTAAAAGAGGGAGAGGGCGTGAGAACTCTATTAAAGAATCTTGAATTGATAATTCCTAAGACCTGCGGTTGCATCTTGTATCCCCAGCAAAGTACTAAGTTACGTGATCTTGTGTGATCGACTTGTTTTTTTTTTGGTAAAGATTTGATTTAGTATATAAAAATAAGGTTTGCAAATTTTTTTCTTAAAATAATTTGCAATAATTTGCTATTTTTTTTAAAAAACAAAAAAAATTTACACGATGAGTGCTAAAAAATCTACAGGAAAGAAATCAATTAATCCGTCGTTACCCTCGGAAACAATTAACGAAATATTTAAAAAGATTGATAATCAATCAACTTTATATTCATGTTTATTCGTTAACCGATTTTGGTGTAGAAGCGTTGTTCCAATTTTATGGGCAAGACCGAATCCTCTTTTATATAAAACTGGTTCTTCAAAGAGTTTGATAGAATCTTACGTTTCATGTTTTAACCAAGATGAAAGAAGAATTTTATTTAGTAACGATGAATTATCCTCGGTTGATGATGATTTTTTACATTTACCAAGTCCTTTATTCGAATATGCTGCATGTTTGAAAGAATTAAATTATCCTGTTTTACGTAAGGCTGTTCGTAAATGTTATAAAAAACTGGGAAATGATGAATTCAGTAAAAAAATTAAACCAAAAATACCTGGCCTAGAAATCACTCGACAAGCCACTATAATGAAAGCTTTATGTAAATTATTCATGAGAAGCTCTCATTTAGATTCGGTGATTTTCGATTCTATTGATGATATTCCTGCTGTATCAATATTTACAAGAGGTCAACCTTCACTTGCGAATCTCACAAAGCTCGTAGTTCTGATAACTAATGAATCAAGTAACACCTCAATTCTTGTAAAAAAATTATCGGCTATCTGCACGGGAATACGTCATTTAAAAGTTGAATTATCTGTTGATGATCCGATTGAAGCTGAAAATTTATCAACTTTAATACGCGCTCAACAAAGTCTTTTAACTTTCGAGTTGACGGGTTTTGCTCCGAGAATCAATCCTATCCTGTCTGCATTGGAATCTCAAGCTTCTTCTTTAACTTTTGTAAAATTTAATCATATTAATTATCAATGGACCTCTCTTGATGTATTGGGTAAATGTACAAACTTACGTACTATCGAATTTCACTCCGAAGATGAAAAAATCTCTCAAGAATTTACTGCTAAGGATTCGGCACCTACCACCGTCACTGGTGCTTCATACTCTCTTCAAACTTTGAAACTAGTCAATCAAATTCCAAAAGTTACTGCTGCTGTTATAAAGACTGGTGGAAGTTCTTTAAAGAGTCTTTGGGTAAACACGATGAATACCGAAGTTGTTCAAGCTATTTTGAGATCTACTACTAGAATTGTACATCTTTATTTGGATGTTGCCGATATCCATGAATTTAACTTGGATAATTATTTACAATTGATCCATGGACTTAAATTGTTTCATCTTCGTCTATCTTCAACTAACATGAGAAATCTTGATGCCTTGTTAAGAGGAATGGCTAAGACCGTACCTTCCTCATTACGTCACTTTGAATTGGAACAGGATTATTCTTTACCTGCACTAGGTGAATTTTTGTCAAATTGTCCTGTACCATTCACTGAACTTTCTTTATTCCCAAATGCTGCCATTGACACTGAATATTTAACAACTGTCTTGCGTTTCACCAAAGAAAGAAAATCTTTAAAATATTTACATCTTAATTTGTCATGGGAATATGGACTTGCCACTAAAAAATTCACCAGGGATATGGATAAAGAGATACAACAATGTATTTATACTATTGACCTTGATTTGCTTAGGTGTGATTATGAAACACCTAAAAAGTATATTGTTACTTAAGTTTATATATAGATGGATTTTTCATTTTTCGACGTGATGATTTTATTATTTATCATATCTGTCACTATTATATGTAAATTACCGTGCAAGTTCTTATTTATTTTCGGTATCATGCATTTATTGAATGGTATCTTTGTAAAATAGTTCATATATCATTTGCCTAGGATATTTTTAAATGAACTTATTTATGTGTACATATATATATATATTTGGCATTTATTTTTGATCTTTTTTTTTCAAAAAGATGTACATATGCAATATATACAAAATAAAAAAAATATCAGATACTCGTTCAATGTGTATAAAATAATTCGTGTCCTCTTTGAAACCTTTGCTTTATTTAAAATTCTTCTATACGATTCTTTGATACACTATTGTCTGTTGATATACTTGAATGACGCCAAGTGAAACCTGTGAATTGGGGTTTTTTTTGATTTTCACTTCGTCGGATTTGGTTTCTAATGTTATTCCTGGTGTTCTAAAACATTCTACATAGCAAGTGCATATTGTTAATGACATATTATTCATAATCACGTACGTACGATCATGATATTAACTTATGCATGCGTAATCTGTCGTATAAACTATAAAAAATGAACAACTAGCAGGGTGGCCTCAACAAAGTACTGCAGCATTTATGTGAATATTACTCATAGGAGGAAATTCGTCTGATTTGCTATTGTCTGGGTAAATTATTTAACGTTTCACTAATAAAAAATCAACACAGATATAATTATTAACGTTAGAGAGGTGTTGCGTTTATTATACAAAAGAATTCCAAAAGATCCCAAAACCGACACGCTTTGCCTTGAAGACAAAATATACGGCAGTTTATTGGATCACGCAAGACTATATTATATATTAAGGTACTGGAAACGCTTTTGCCG